TTCCCTCATTATTGGGTCGTCTTTAAAGGAAAGGATGGTGTCACGGGTGTCGATGTCGATGGCAGCGACCCATACTTCCGGTGGGAGCATAACGACGTCAGTGTTGTCATTAGAGCCGTCGTCATGGTCGGGTCGGCGGGAGAGAGTGTCGCTCTGCACCATTTGGGTACCAGGAACGTGTACCAGGCGGAAGTCAAACTCGGTCAGTTTACTCGCCCAGCGTGCTTGTCGTCGGTTCATGTCTTTGGCTTGTTTCCAATATGTGAGGTTCTTGTGGTCGCTGAGAATCGTTACTGGGTATGGGCTGCCGATGAGGTAGTGCTTCCACTCATCTAGTGCGCGGATAACCGCGTATAACTCCCTGTCGTAGATGTCGTAGTTTCTCTCTGCTGCATTGAAGCTTTGAGAGAGGTATCCGCAAGGATGCCAGTCACCGTTGTCGTCGCGCTGGTGTAGTACTGCTCCAGTTGCAAACTTGGAGGCGTCAGTTTCGATAGCAAAGGGTCGATCGGGATCCGGCATGCATAGTACCGGTTCTTCTAGGAATGCCTTTTTGAGGGTTTCGAAGGCTTTCTGTTGGTCCGATCCCCAGGTCCAGGCGACGTCCTTCCGGGTGAGAGCAACCAGTGGTTGCGCTTTGTCCGAGAAGCCTTTGATAAACCGGCGGTAAAAGTTTCCAAATCCAACGAAGGCGCGTACTTGCCTGAGGTTGGACGGCACCGGCCAATCTGCAATGCCAGCTAGTTTGACGGGGTCCATTGCAATTTCTCCTGGGTGGATGATCATGCCGAGGAATTCGACTTCGGTGACGTCGAAGGCACATTTCTCCGGTTTGAGGTAGAGGTCGTGTTGTCGAAGTCGTTCGATAACGCGTCGTGTTCGCTCTTCATGTTCTGCCTTGTCCTGGGAAAAGATCAGGATGTCGTCCATGTAGATGCAGAGCCAGCCTTCTTGAAGCATGTCTGCGAATATTGTGTTCATCATCCGCTGAAACGTAGCGGGGGAATTACACAGCCCAAAGAACATCACCGTTGGTTCATACAACTGCGGTGGTTTGCCATCAGTTCCGGGTACAATGAACGCTGCCTTCCATTCGTCCCCTTTCTTGATTCGGACGTTGTTGTATCCGGCGCGGAGGTCCATCTTCGTGAACACCTTGGCATGCTTCAACTTGTCGAGGAGGTCCAATATAAGCGGGAGCGGGTATCGATCCTTGACCGTGTTTTCGTTGAGTAGCCGGTCTTGACAGGGACGTAGTGAACCGTCCTTTTTACCAACAAAGAAGAATGGACTCGCCAACGGGGATTTCGAAGGGCGGATGTACCCTTTACTCAGGTTCTCTTCGAGGAACTTGTTCAGTTCCTTTCGTTGCTGTGGGTTGAGTGGATAGACCTGTTGCTTCATGTCCGCGAAGCCCTCCTTGAGGTTGATTTCGTGGTCATATTCGGTGTGGTCTGGAAGTCGCGCAGCAGTGCCTTTGTCGAAGACGGGGAGGAGATTGTGTAGGTAGGATGGTATCATCTGTGGTAGCGTTTTTTCTGTCTTGCCTTGGGCGTTCGATGCTGCAAGTTCGGTGGAAGTGGTGACGCGCCTAATGTCGTGGTGG